AGGTCCACTGCCACTGAAGAACCAGTGTGGGTGTTGTCAGAGAAGACCTTCCCAAAGAGTCCAGGCAATGGCATCTGGACATCAAAGGGCACCAGACAGGGGCAGGGCTAGGGAGCTGGTAGTTACAGGCATGATTTGGGAGCCAACTCTGAGGACAAAGCCTGGTAGGGTTAGCTATGTGCCCGACTCTGGGCAGCTTTGTATAGTACTCTCATCCTGTTTCCTCCACTCACTAGACCAAACAGTAGCACAGTGCTTACTTTATATTGCTGTCTGAGGAAACATCACAAGCCCAATAGCTTAAACACCTCCCCTCCCCACTTCATCTCCCAGCTCTGGAGGGCAAAGGGGAGGCTCTGGGGAGTGTGGAGTGGGGGGTATAACCTCTGTTGCCAGGTCCATTCCCATTGAGAGCAGAATTCATTTCCTGGTGCTGTAGGACCTAAATTTCTATCTTCTTGGCCTGTGTCAGCAGGAGCCAACCTGAACTCATAAAGGTTATTTATATTCCCTGCCAAATGATCCCTGTCCTCCTCAAGTCAGCAGGACTAGTCAAACCCTTCGGTTTCCTCCTTGTCCATGAACTCAAGGAGTCTTGAGTTAGGGATGTATGTACTCAGATCAGTATGTGCTTGTGCATATATGTGCATGCATGTGTGCGTGCATATGCGTGTGCATGTATGTGTACACACACACACACACATACACACACACACACACACACACACACCAACCAGGGCTGGAAATCTTGGGAGGCCATCTAGGAATTCTACTGACCACAAGTACCTACTTCTATAGAACCCTGGGGCCAGAGTAATCAAGTGTATGTGAAGTAACTGGCTTAAAGCCAGAATGCTTCAGGTAGGAGGATTTACACATGAGAAAAGAGCCACTTGAGTTTCCAGGATGGTTGAGAAAATGGTTGAGGTGAGAGAAGACAGCCGGGGACTGGAAACAATGGTTTGGCTTCTGGCTCTTGACCAAGGGTCTTCATTTTGATCTGTTTTGAAGCAGGATGTGCCACCCTCCTTGGATGACCACCACGGATACTTCTCTTGATTTAGCTCTTTGTTGAGGCAGTGAGTCAGGGTACAACGAGAGAGGAGCCTGAACTGGCTTCCTGGACTAACTCATCCAGAAACCATCTGCCCGTGGCTTCTGATCCTGAGCAGAATAGAGGAGACCCAGGTCTCAGAAACCACCAAGATAATAGCTTTTCCCAAACCAGCCCAGCCAGGCTCTAATTAAGATGGGTGGAAATGAATCCCAACTCTGGTTGCTCACCATGCATAGGTTGTGGCTGGGGGAGCACTCCCACTTCTCTCTCAGCCTAGCTTTGTTGGAAGAGTACTCAGACAAAAGCTAAGGTCCTGCTCACTCTGGGAGGAAGGCCACCATCTGTCTACTGTCTGTGACTGTGTGTCTGGACTTCTGTCCACCCTGAAGGCTGAACTGCTCTTGAGAAATGGATGTTGCAAATGGTCTGGAGTAGTCACGAGGTAAAGACCTACAGAGACACTGAGGAGGAAAGCAGGAGAAAGGGGTCATTGCTCATTGCACAGAGCCGTGGGAGGAGAGAGCTAATCTCTTGAGATTCCTAGGCTAGACAGTTCTTATTTCCAGCAGAACTCTTTCTCTCCTCTCCTGGCCTTTTCTCCCTATTTTTCTCTTATCTGCCTTGTTTCTGGATCTTCTCATAGCTTCCCCCAGAAAAACTTCAGCCAACTTACTCCTCTTGAACAACTGTCATTTTTGAAAAGCTGCCCAGTCTCTTTTTGCTGTGACTTCTAAAGAGAGACTTTGGGCCAGGGTTCCTTTCCGTGACAACAAGGAGGTAGGAGAGGGGGATGGTAGAAGCTCGAGATGGAGAGACGATACACATCTGCACACATTTCTGAGAGACACTGAGTCTGTGCTTTGTACTATGGTCCTGACATGAGAGGAAGACAGGAAGAAAAGCAGAGAGCAGAGAACTTAGGCTTGCATCCCTGCTGCTGGAGTTCTTATACAAAGGAGACATGACCCTATTTGACCTTAACCACCGAGACCAGAGGATTATAGAAGAACCGACCAAAGATATGTGGGCAAAAGGCCAGGACAAGCTTTCCAGTTTTGACATATCCGTCCAAGAACAGATGTCTGGCTGGGATAGCTGTGGACCACAGAATTTCCAAGATCAGAGTGCTAGCAAAGCTACAAATGTGAATGGTTACCTGGGATCCAGGTAAGCCTCACTACCACCATCGCTGGTTAAGGACCAACACCAAAAGTGTTACCGTTCTGCCTTGTTAGTTTACGGCCTGAAAGAGTGATGTTGACACTTCCTTGTCCCTCTGCCTTTTTGATATTCCAGACAGGTGCCAGAGGTGTCATCAAGGTTGATGGAGCCTGGCACTGGCTTGCTCACTGTGATCAGCAGCTGACAGTCTGACAGTGACACTTTCCCTGATTACATTTTAAACTTGGACTGCACCACACTTGGTTGCATTTCGAATGAGAGAGAGAGAGAGAGAGAGAGAGAGAGAGAGAGAGAGAGAGAGAGAGGCAGGCAGTAAGTCAAGGAAGGACTTTCAGATAAGGAGGTTTGCTCGGTCTTCAGGATCAGAGGACACACAGCCAGCCCACTTGACACACAGCATCAATTCCACATTTCACCCTAGCTAAAATACTGACATCTAATGAACTGATGTCAGATGAGAATAGAAACATTTAGGACAGTGCATGGACTCCATCTGGTATTGTGTGAAATCCAAAAGGAATGTTCAGGGGAGTGGAAGGAGCCATTACATGCCCCCCTTTTGGAAGTTAGCTCCAGTAGTCATTTCTTAGTGTGGTAGAAAAAAAAATAAAAAACAAAATAGAAATCACTTGGACTTAGAATATCGTTCCCTTCCAGGCAAGGGATGAAGAGTGCTGATTTGGCTGTGTTAGTACCTCTGCCTCTCCTAATGTGGTAGAGGGTTTGCTGATAGGTTTGTTTTTGGATAGCAATTAATGTTAGGTAATTATTGGCAGGGAAGCACCACCTAAGTATCACTAGCTTTTAAATACTAACAGGGTCGTGGCTATGAGCAAGGACTTGTCTGTGCAAGACACAAACAACTGTCTAGGCCATTCATTACTTCTCCCCTTGCTGCCCATTCTAAATATCTGTTTGGGGGATTTGAACACTTCCTTGCTCCTGTGCCAAGAGTCTCAGAGTCCATGAACACATCCACATATCCTCATAGTCACCAGGATACACGCTTCCGTAAGGGATGGTGTGATGATGGTAGAAATTTTCATAAGAGTCCATCCATACCAGACAATAAGTCTTTTGGGTTCCGTGTCTTTGGAGACAGGCTCTCATGTAGCCCTGGTCTCAAACTCAGCAAGTAGATGAGGATGACCTTGAATTTCTGCTCGTTCTCCTTCTACCTCCTGAAGGTCAGGATGACAGATGTGCATCTGGTATATGGAATTCTGCCAACTGAACCAGGGCTTCATGAACGCCAGGCAAGCACTCTACCAACTGAGCTATATTCTCAGGGGCTGCATTTTTTTTTTTTAACATTGGTGTTAACTGTAACCCATTTTCTTGTTGACATCACTCTGTTGATGTTTGCAGGACTCTTCAGGTGGAGGGAATGTGTTCTCTGTCTCAAAGGTCAAGGTTTGGCACTATTATATACAGCTTCAACTTTCATGTCACCCATAGACTTTGCCTGGGAAACTGCTACTTTTAGTGATCGCCTAATGACAAATAGAAAGGTCCCCAGCCCCCACTGATCCCCTGTTAAATGACCAACATTTCTGGGCAGTAAACTCTGTGTGTGTGTGTGTGTGTGTGTGTGTGTGTGTGTGTGTGTGTGTGT